CCCCCATGTGCTCTGGGAAGCAGGAGCCGTGGTCAGCTGGGTCCTCCTCACAGGAAGACTTCGCCTGTGAGCTGCTCCAGCCAGTGCCGTCCAGCACGGCACTTCCCTCCTGGGACTGGCCTTTCTTTTGTGTTTTACCTGTGCTTTTTCCTGTTGCTGAATAATGAGTTTTCCATCCCACACCATGGCCCCGTTGGGTCTCTTCAAGGTCCGTGCAACCAAGCAGCCTTTTATGTGCATGTACCGGTAAGAAGCAGAGCGGAGATAGGGCGGGCCGGGCAGGTCCTGCTTCTTGCTGCAGCCTGCACGTGGTTGCTTTCTCCGTTACTACTTTTGTTTCTCCGTGGCTCTCGTGGTGCAATCCCAGCCTCAGCGGTGGCCAGGGTCTGTAATTACAAGGTGCACCTTGAGAGATGAGGATTTTCCTAACAGCAACAAATATGCCGAACTAGCTGGGGCTGACGGGGCGGGCGAGCAGCGGGATGGGTTGTGGGCAGCAGGTGCCTGTGTGCCTGCAGGGCCTCCCCTTCCCACCCTGCTGGGTGGAGCAGGGTGTCCTGAGGACGTATCGGGTGTCCTGAGAACACATTAACAAGCGCGGGAGCAGCTCTGGCAGCCGGGGAGGAGCCAGGGATGGATTTGTGAGTAAAGCGCCGTTCCTTTTCCAGGCTGAAGCTGAATGAAAAGGTGTCGCTGGAGAAAATCAAATTTCACTGCATGGATCATGACGGCGGGTCCATTTTTGTGTGGCCTGTGGACAAGGAGATCTTGCAGGCCCAAAAGAAGGTAGGAAGGAACGGTTGGCTTTCACTGGAGATAAAACCTGGGGAGACCAGTCCGAGGAGTTCCTTGGGGGTGAGGAGAGCTGCTCTGTGCGTGGCTCCTGCAGGGGCTGGCGGGATGGAGGGCTGCAGGCTGCAGTGCCACGGAGGCAGCCTCGAGTCCCGGCCCTGTGCTTCCAGTGGGAAAAAAGTGGAAAGATATTTTTCTTCTTCTGTGTTAAAGAAGAAACAAGGGGAAAATCTTGCGAGTGGCTGCAGACGCCCTTGCCAGCAGCACCCGTGTGTTGGAGTGCACCGAGGTGTCCAAAGCTTTTGGCCCAATTTCCACTGCAGTAGCTGTATTTTGCTTTCCTAATGTCTCTTGCCCAGGTTACGGGGACCTGGGGGCACATCGCACTGCGAAGGGATGGCTGTGTGTTTGCGGTCTTCCCAGGGTTGCTGCCTGGCATTTAGTCATGCAAAGGAACTTTTTTGGCTTTCAGTGGAATCTTCTGTGCTGCTCTTGGTGCTCTTCGGGAGCATCGCTGGGGGTGGCGTGGAGGGCTGTTCGGGGAGCTCCGAGGTTGTTATCGGATGGAGGAGGGGAGCGGAGGGGAGCAGGCAGGAGCTGCGGGATCTCCTGCGTGGCAGCAAAGAGAAGCTGCTCCTGGGCTCTCTCCTGTCCCCAGTTTCCATGGACTGTCTGGAGCACGTCACATCCTTGCGGAAACAAACCCTTCCCACTTTTCCCCTCAGGTGGTGGAGCACCTCGAAGGCGAGCTGGGGGTCCAAGTTCAGCGTGTGGCAATCCACAAAATGAAGTATTCTTTCCAGATCTGGTCAGCCATGATGTCATCCAAGGACAACGATGGGCAGGTGTGTCAAACTGAGCTGGCAAAGGCACAAATTTGGCAGCAGCAGGGAAGAATCGGCTGTTTGGGGCCAGCCACGGAGAACTGTTGGCTTCCCAGACCTGCCCAGGGGCTTTCTCTGCTCCGTTTGTCCCCCCAGTCCTCCTTTCAGCTCTTTCCAAAGCTACACAGCCCTTTCTCCCTTGCTTTCCCATGGGATGACGATGTGGCTCCCAGCAGAGGAGCAAGGTGGTTTAGGGAGGGAGAAGCCATTTTAGCATGTTGACCTTTTCTGTGCAAGTTGGTAAGTCGGCCAAGCAGGTAGCGTCCTGTCTCGCTCTTAACCTCTGTACTGTGTCTCCTGGCGTTGTAGGTTGGGATTAATGCCCGTTAGGATGCCAGGGCTGAGGCGGTGGATTAGCAGCTTTTCAGCAGCAGGCCTGCATGTCTTATTTTTTCATTGAATTGTAGCCACTGCACCATGCTCTGTGTATGCCTGGAAGTATTTTGTAGCAAAAATAAACTCGCAGGAGTATTATACCTCATGCATTCTGCCACGCAGGCAGCAGTGAAAAATAAACCAACCCCATTTTGCTAAGGAGGGCACGCCTGGCCCCCGCTGCCTTCTTTTTCTTGATCCCACAGCCATGTAACAGCAGTAAATGCCTCTGGGAGACATTATCTGGAGCCTCATCCCTTGCATCATGTCAGAGGAGCGGTTCTGAAAGGCGCTGCTTTGGGGGGCTCTCCCCCCGCAGAGCGAGGTCCCCTTCTTGCTGTCTCTGGCAGGGAGAGGCGTTCTGCTGCCGCTCTGGATTAGTGCTACAGCCGCGTAACACTCCTGACAGGCATCTCTTGTCTGAAAACGGGAACAGCTTGCGTCGGGATAATTGGACAGCCGGAGATTTCGCTGTCATTTGTCAGCCTGTTCTTCCCCGTCGTGCGCCAGCTGATGGTGCTGATGGAGGGGGCGTGTGTGTGTGTTACAGGAGGCACAGCTCTTCACGGACCTGCTGGGGGATCAGGGGAAGCCGGTGTGGCCGCTGTGGGAGCTGATGAAGTGGCTCGTGGGGATGTCTTCCCACACTCTGCCAGCTATCGGTAAGGCCGGGAGGAGCCCCCGGGCGTGCGGAGGCAGCAGTGGGGCAGGCGAGTTGTTAAATGAAAATAGTGCTCTTCCAGCGCCCCGCGAAGGGACTCCGGAGTTTCCCCTGAGCAGCTTCAGACTGTTTTTTTGTAATGACACTCAGTGTCTTCAAGTCAAACACGTGCTCGAGGGGGAGTTGGCTGGATCCTTGATAACTAGGATTGGATATCGTGGGAGCAGGAGAAGTGAGGACAAGAGAGCTGCAGGCAGGGTTTGCTTCTGCTGTGAGCCCTGCCAGAACTGCTGGGGCTTAGAGGGAGCCAGTCAGGGGTCTGCACCGATCTCATTTCTTAGCAGCAGATACCAGAGAACCCTAATTAGTGCTGTCGTGGTGCTGTCTAATGAGTGCTGAGGTCGCTCCGCCAGCTCTGATCAATCCCAGCGGCTGGAAAAACTCCTTGAAGCGACGGGCAGGCTGAAAGCCTTTCCCGTGGCAAAGCTGGGGAGACGCTGCCTGCAGAGCCGCGCCGCGTGCAGGGGGCAATCCGCTCTGGGAGCCGGTGTGCCGGCA